GTATGAATAATATATATGTATATATACGATATACACAAGCCATGTGTAAATATATTTAATTATTGTTTTTTATTATTGTTTATTTTGTAGTTATGCACAAAGCTATACAATGGGCTATCTGTGCTATGCCCACCACGGGTATCGAAACCTGGTTTCTAGCGTTGTAAGTCCGCAGACATACCGCTGTGCCACTGGGGGGCTAAATATTATTAAATAAGCATGCATAGTTTAGTTCAATTGAATGTGTTATTTATAACAATAGTAGTTTTTTTTCTTTTAAAAACATAACTATTTATAATACTCCCTAAATGCCCCCCAGTGGCTCAGCGGTATGTCTGCGGACTTACAACGCTAGAAACCGGGTTTCGATACCCGTGGTGGGCAGAGCACAGATAGCCCTTGTGTAGCTTTGTGCATAATTAAAAACAAACTCCCTAAATAATAATAAAATAAATTACAGTGAAAACAATGAAGATTTTGTAGGTTTTGAACCAAACTAAATAACAGTAAACCTTTTTTTGATTTACGGTATTTTCTCATTTTGATGTTTTGAGCTCTTTTGTGTTTAGAATAATATATGATAATTTTTAAAGAATCAAATTTAAATTTTGTTCACTAAAAATCTTTCAAATGCGACTGTAGCTTTTTTTTCCCCAAAAAACTTTGTCTTCAAAATAAGGGTGCGTCTTATATTCCGAAAAATACGGTACATAAATAAGCGCTCCAATACAAAATAGTAACACTCCAATTATAGAAAACATATGAAGATATTTCTCTATATATGCTTATCTGTACTGGGCAGTGGGCACGGCCTAGTTGCCAGTGTGAGAAGCTACAGATAGAAGTGATTGTGGTTCAAGATGTAATGCTACTGAATATTATCTGAACTTTCAGCTTGGATTGAACAGTAAATCTCAAGAATCGGAAAAAGCCATGACTGATTTCTTCCTTCTAACATTATATTCCAGATCAATTTCCCAAACCCAGGTAGGTTTGTGTTGGATGTTGCCTAACAGCTCTTCCCTGACTCAGCAAAGACTCTATGTTACCCTGGGTTCTCTATCTTCCAGTGCTGATGCTCCTTGCACAATATGAAACCCAGGCAGCAGTCCATCTAGTAATCTAAACTTAACAATGATGCCATCATCTTACCACTGTTTTCAAGTTGAACTCTATCACAAAGCTCCTGGGTCACTATTCTGCCAGCAAAACCATTAATGGAGATAGGGCGGTAATTATAAGTACATATGCAGTTAACGTTCTTAGAAACATAATAGCTCCTCGGGAGTTACTGGCCTCAACCACAGAAGACTTGGGAGTTTTTCAGTGTTCTCTTAATTGACAACTCAGCATACCTAGTGTATGATTTGGTTTCTTTAAACAATGGCCTCATTGGAGATAAGCCCAGACTTCGTTTTTATTCTGGTGTTCTCTTGGCATCTCTTAGACAGACAGACCACAAAATGTCAATATTTTGATGGTCTAGAAGACTCGCTCGTTTTCTTCAGCTGCTGCTGATGTAATCCTGAGCTGTCACTCTACTCTCTGAGTATTTCATTTTAACTTTCGTATCCAATAGGGTGATAATATGGCAGACAAAGGTTGGAAGTGAATGGTTTACATTCATCGAAGTAAGAACCGGGGAAGGGGGTTTATCAGCCTTAATGAGCTAGATGGAAAATGACATGCTTGATAAGACTTCCAGAAGGTTTGGATGGTTCAGGCTACTAGGTCTTAAATTGTAACAACAAATAAGTACATAAAAGCGCAAGAATAAAGTAATTGGCCTTAAAGCATTCAAAAATAGGAATGTTAGCATTAGCCTATCAGCTCTGAATCACATTATGATTGTAGGATATCACACTTAAAATAAACAACTAAAAGTTCTGTTTCTGATGTAGCAAACGTGTAAACTTACACCACAATAAAATACAAGTGTAACTCTTACTCTTTATACATTCAACTGTGTGTTGTTCTCCTTGTGGGATAAGTGCCTAATTTGCTGGCAT